TCAGAGTTTTGACTCACAGACGAAGAAATGGGTCCAAACTGGATCGTCCATTTGGCCAGAGTCACCCAGCTCAGGCCCAGGTCTACTCATTCCTGCAGCCTTTCATCCTTTACCTGGTCCACATTGATGAGGGCATGCTATGCCCGGCCTTGGGCACGCAGCCATGCCTACAACCTCACAGCCTAGGAAAGTTCTGCCCTGTGCAGCTCCGTTAGGGGAAGTGTGGTATCTGGAAGTCCTCAGCGAGTCGGCCACAGATGATGCCGTAGGCTTGCATGGCACTGCCTGGTGTGTGCGACAGGAGGCGGGCCCTGCACGGAGCCCGGAGGAATGCCCGCGTTTGAAGTCAGGTGGCGGAGGCTGGTCAGGAGACGGAGAAGGAGCTGCCGAGGTTGGGAGGAAAGGCAGGAGTGTGTGTGAGGGGTCCCAGCGCTCCAGTGCGTGTGGGAGCCTGTGTCCCCCGAGCAGAAGAGAAAAGAGTAGCTCAAGAGATGGGGCTGGGCAGCCTTGGACCTCCTTCCAAGACACACCAATGCCAGAGAAGGACCCACAGCCATGGCCTGCTCCAGGCCATGCTCCACACCACGGCACCAGCCACCCTCCTCCCTGATAGCCCCTCAGACGGGTCCTCTTTGCTCTGTGGATAAGGTCAACAGTTCTTGACCTGGCCAACCAGTACCTGCAGGACCGGTCCTGGCTGACCCCTCTCAGCTGCATCTCTCCCTGCTCTCCTCCTGGCTGGTAGTAGTGTAGCCATTCCAGCCTTCGTTTTGTCTTTGAACAGTTCAGGCTCTTTGTTGCCTCAGGACCTTTGCACAGTCTGCTCTCACTGCCTAGACAGTTCTCTCCAACTCCGCCTCCTTTCCTGGTTAACTTGGCTCATCTGTTAGTCAGTTCTTAGGCACATTGTCATACACGCTCAGTCATTCAGAACCCCCTCACATTCAGGACTCGCCGCACTGTAGCAATGGCTTTGGTGCCTGTGTCTTGCTGGACTCATTGTCCAACTCGGCCAGGGACCGCCTCCCTCATTCATTGCCTGATTCCCAGGTAATGACCATATGCCTGGCACAGATCGGTGAATAAATGAGATAGCTCCTGGCCTCCGGACTGATTCTGCTGCAAACGAGGGGAGAGGGGAGGGAGAACATGAAAGAGGAAAAGGAGGCAGATGTGAGAAAGGCCACGGAAGTTAGACAGACAAGCTGGAGCCGCTGGGCCAATGCTGAGCCTCACCCGGGGGACCTGCTCTCCTTCCAGGCCTGCGTCCAAAATTTCTCTGAGTCACCCCTCTGGGCACTGGAGAAGATCAAGAACGTCTTTAATGAAACAAAGAACCTCCTTAAAATGAACCAGAGCATTTTCAGCAAGAATTGCAGCGACAGCTTTGCTAAGTGCTCCGTCCCAGGTAAGCGGCAAAGGGACCAGCAAGGGTGAGGCAGGGGAGAGCGTGTGGAAGAATGGGGACTGGGCGGTGGGACGTGGGGCTGGAGGGACCCCCGGAGGCAGCCTGGCTGCTGCTCGTCTCCTGTGTGTGTAGATGTGCTTGTTTTGTGTAAACATGTGGCTTCATGCATCTCTGGGTGGTCCTCAGCACATGTCTCTTCTGACATGTGTGTGCATGTACACCTACATATGTCTGCATGTCAAGGCATCAAGAAGGACCATGCTGGTGGCTGTGAGATTAGGGAGCGGGCAAGGGGACCCCTCGGGGAGAGCCCTGCAGGCCTGGAGGCTCTCTGGCTCCGCAGGGGGCGGGGGGTTCCGTGGAGAGAGCAGAAGTTCCTCCTGGGAGTCAGGGCCCTGGCTCTGAGAACCCCGCTGCCAATCACCAGGATACCCAGGCTCCCGAAGTCCTCAGGATGCCTTGAGTGTCCCCTCAAGGGACAGGCTGGATTTGAAGTCTGAGCATCATTCAAACGCTCCCAGTGCTGGCACCGGCTGCACCCGTGCACCCTACATGTCCTCGTCTCTGCGTCTCGTGTCATGTGTGCCCTCGTCCGTGCAGCCTTGCTCCCCGAGGCAGGGACTGAAGCCCTGCCACCCGGCACCTGCCAGTGGCCAAGTCCAGTCTCCTTGTTTCAATCCCAAGGCCTCAAGCCTTGGCCACAGTCCAGCCCCAGCCGTTCCCGCCTGCGGCTGTGGCCCTTGCTGTGCATGGCACCACCTTGCTGCTTCCAGCCAACGCAGTGGGGCTGAGGGTGTCTGGTGTTAGCCCTGGAGGCCTCTGCTCACCCCTCGCTTGGCGTCTGCCCACCTGGAACCCCGGGAAGAACTGCGCTCCGGTCTTCCCTGACCCCAACCCCAGGCTGCGCCTCTCAATCCTGCTTTCTGTTCTCACCCATAAGACCCTGCAGTTTGCACCTTCCCTGCCTGTGCCAGTCCTGTCGTGCCCTCAGCCCCAGGGCTGAGTTAGCGGATGCGGGGACCCTCTCGAGTCCCTCGGGAACGCTGTGCTGGAGGCTGGTGACTCTAGCTCCTCCGTCTTTCTCTCTCCCTCTGTGGTTCTTTCAGATGTGGTGACCACGCCTGATTGCAACTGCCTGTACCCCAAAGCCACCCCTAGCAGTGACCTGGCCTCTGCCTCCCCTCAGCAGCCCCTTGCCCCCTCCGTGGCCCCTCAGGCTGGCTTGCCCTGGGCTGACTCTGAGGGGACAGAGGACAGCTCCCTCTTGCGCAGTGAGCAGCCCCTTCGCACAGAGGACCCGGGCATTGCCAAGCAGCGACCACCCAGGAGCACATGCCAGACCCTTGAGTCACCAGAGACCCCAGGCGCCGAGGGAGGCCCCGTCGGAGGTTCGCCTGAGCCCCAGCCCTCGGCGGGAGCCCCCGTCTCTGGGATGGAGGATGTTCTCGACTCTGTGTTGAGCGCTAACTGGGTCCTAGAAGAGGCCTCTGGAGAAGCTAGCGAGGGGCCTGCACCCCAAGGCCCAGAGCCCTCCCCCTCCAGGCTGGGAGGAGGCAGCGTGCAGGCGGCAGCCACCAGACACAGCAACCTCATCTCAGCATCTCCACTCCGCGCAGCAGCCAAGGGCCAACCGCCGGCGATTGGAACTGGCACCCTCCGGCCCAAGGTGGGGTCTGGGAGACCCACCGGCCAGGCCCGGAGTCACACACCCGAGAAGACAGACCGTCCATCTGTGCCGCCCAGAGACGCCCAGGCGCCAGGCTCTGCCAGGCCCCTGTTCCTGCGCCCGAGAGGCCTCAGCCGGCCCTCCACCCTCTCTGCTCAGACCAGGCTTCCGGGCAGCCACGCCTGGGACAGTGTCCTGCCCCTCGGGGGGCTGCAGGGCAGGAGGAGCACCCGGGAGCGGAGGAGCACCGCAGGGCTGGAAGGAGGACCAAATGAGGGGGCGGCCGCACCCCATGCCCATTTTAACCCTGTTCCTTTGACAGACATAGGCTGGGTGCTGCCGCCCTCCACCCCCCAGGCCGGCGAGATTGTCCGCCCCGTGCTGGT